ATCTTGGACGTTCGATGACCCCTGTTTTTATTTTGATGGATCATTTTCTCTATCCATAAGAAAATCCATCGACTAAAAGCAGGAGCCCAAGAAGTTTGAGTTTTTTGCTAAATGCACCATCGAATTTCGTTCCTTTTAGCTCTTCGTTTATCTGTGCGGCGGTTTCAAATGCCTCTCGAAGGGTTAAGTTTTGTGAAAAAGGTGGCAACATTTGGAATTATTAACGCAACGAATTCACTCATATAAAATATTACTAGGATGGTTTGTCTCCGTTGATTTATCTTTGATATTTTAAGCTAAAATCCTGGAGACCATGCTGATTTACACGCGCCAATTTTTCAAAATCAGACTAGTTTTCCACACGCTTTAACTCTGAAACGAATTCGGCGATTTCCATTTTCCTTTTTTCATTCCTGAAACAAGCAATTCATTATCTGTCTGCAGTAGAAGTTTGAAGAAAATCTATCGAGTAGAACATTTTCGCACGAACGTCCTTAACCTATATTTGTGACTGCCGGGATTGATGGGCAGCAGAGCATATGCTCACTGTGGGTTGTACATACTGCAGCTAACGGGACTCCAGCTTCTCCAGTCATCATAATTATGTTCCCTGATCAGAGGGTAGGGTATTAGTTATCCCACTGGTGCCAAAAATAAAAACAAGAAATGTTTTATCGAGAAAAGTTTCTAGTGGGTGGTTGTTGAGCACCGCTGAGTTCAAAGTGAATCACACGCTCTGTGAAATGGCAGGCTAAGAGAATTATTCCAGTTTGGAAAGATCGACGGTGTTACCGCGTTTAAACCTACAGGAATACACATCATCTGCAACTCGGATAAGGAGCGTTTATGGCGCTCGATCGCCTACTGGAGACATTTGAGCGACTGTTTGTTTAAGATCGATGATTTATGGGCTTTATGTCTGATGAGACAAGAAGTTGTAAGAGCGAACGGGAATTATCGCATCGCTCTCCTATAATTGTGTTTTAAATATAAGATTCTTTCAAGCGAAGACGATTTCTTGACTGGGGTTGATGAGCAGCAGAGCATATCCACACACCAGTGGGTTGTACATACTGCAGCTAACGGGACCCCAGCTTCTCCGCTCATCACACCTATGTTCCCTGATCAGAGGGTAGGCTGTCTTGCCTGCGCCCATTGTGCCCGTGATTAGTTATCGGGCAGATGCCACAAATGACCCTTCGACAATCCCCAGACATTACTTTTAGAATGAGCAGAGAGTTCCCCTATCCGCCCCCGCCCTCCCCGTTTCCAAGGAACGCGCCGTATATACCGGAGTGGCAGCATGCAGGGAATTCATATGCTGCTCCTTTATCTCATTTTACTGTAGTTTATATACACGTATGACTGACGAGCAAATACAAATTCGTTTGTAACTATTACAGAAAAGTCATTTCATGTACTTTCCTGTGCTGTGAACACCTCAGTCAAACCGCTGACCTAAGCTTACGAAGTCAACAGCTAATGAAAGAGAAATGTGAGACGCTGCCAACGACCCACCAACGGAAAACAATATTATTCCATGTGAGTGTTCGCCCTAGACGCGACAGCACTACATGCTATGAAGGGTCTAATGAGTACCTCAAACCAGCAAAGGTTTTCGATGCGCAACCGCTAAAATGTTGGATTTTTTTTCTGATTTACACACGTTGAGATATAACTTGATTGTAAAGATGTAGATTGATTGTAAAAAGTAATGGAAATAGATAGTGCAAAACAATAAAAATCCGAATCTGAATCTGAGTTGGACCTGTTAAAGACAATTTTACAAAGAAAATCTAGCGAACTACCAGCATAACCAATTAATGAGTGGTTCAAAGTTCTCACGGAAACTAGCTATTGACGCAAAGAAAATGGTGGAGAAAATCTTCCGTCTTAATAGAAAAAAACACATCAATTGGCGGCTATATTTTTAGAAAACTGCGCATGCGCCACGACTGGAGTCACAAAAGATTTCACTAAAATGACGTGAAACGTGTTTGAGCGTTGAAATGTGTTTACAAAGGCTTTTTTTACGACGGTGGTTACAGAAGCCCTTCCGATTGAGATTAACTTCTAACCTCTAACAATGTGGGTATAAGTCGAGGATGAAATTTGGCGCCGACATGTTTTAACGGTGGTGGTTGGGTTTGTGTGCTCTAAGATGTCTGAGATTGCTTGCACGCTACGAGTCTCGTAATCAGGGGCTTTGGGTGCGAGTTTGGCGTGCTGCCAAAACTTTAAGATGTCAAAAATTCATTCTGGCGCCTTTAAAAGAGGGAGAACGGCGGTGGGGGAGGGAGTAGTTTCTATTAGTGCTCCCCAACAAACTACTACCTAACTACTATCTTACTATGCTATTCCCATTCTTTTTTTAATATGATCTGTTCGGAAGGAACAAAAGATTTATCTAATCTCCTCTTAGCGTTATATTCTTATTACCTGATATTAAAATTCTCAACTTAATTGCCTAGTTCGTCTTTTTTTTTTTTTTGCTTGCATCCGTGGAGAATGTGCATTGACGACGCGTCTCATAAATACATACATTTTACGATTTGTTCAAATTCAAGTACATTGACCAAAAGCAGTTAAAAGTTTAGAGAGACAGGAACGAAGAATTTAAAAATGAAAAAGATTACTAGCCAATGACGTCAGCTACCTCAAGTATTGTTAATGGTAACGTTGTAATATGTTCCGACAGCGGGTACTTCAGAAATATATTTGACATTTCAGTCTTAGTTACAAACCCAAGCGGTTCCTTTGTAAATTTAATTCAGCATGCAGATTAAGCAGGACGATTTTGTTTCACTTTGAAATGATCTGGCGAGTTGTTCAATTTAGAGCGAAGGTCATTCCTTAAGGTAGGATGGCTCGGCGAACATGGATTTCAGTGGCTCGCCTTGTGATTACAAGTAAGAATTTTTATTATTGCTTTTTACATTGCATTCAGCTTTTAAACTTCCTTCATTTACTATTGCTTGAAATTAAATGTTTTCCCTACTTAAGAATAAGTTTCATTCAACTATGCGCCGTAAAAATATCTAATTGCGTTTCTGTTAAAAATGTTAGAGAGCTTCGGAAAGTTGTAAAAATCCGAGAAAAAATGACTTGCGTTTGAAGCTATTTCTTTAGAAACAAAAAGATCGTTGGCAAGCTTGTACAAACGAAGTAAGCGTAGTAATTCAAAAGTATTTGAACCTATGCACGAGATTAACCTGGGAAAACCGAACAGTGTGCCCGACGGAGAAATCAGTTAACAACAGTTTATTTCCGTCGATGACAAGGGCGAAAAAATTGGGCAAACCAATTTTTTTCTTGAACAAACATCTGCCGTGTTTTGCCCAAACGAATTTGTACAATAGTTTTTTTACTTAGTTACAGGCAAGTACAGACGTTAATAGGTAATTTCTATATTTTCGGTATAAAATCAAAAAGAACACAGATTCTAAGTTCGAGGTATATATTGATAGGATCGATTCGTTTCTTCAGTGTAGCAAAACTTCTCGAGGGTTCCTTTTAATTTTGGTAAACGTTTGTCTCACTTCTTCCGGAAAATGATATCCTGCTGTAAAAATAATGAGACATTTTTGTGATTGACGCATTTTAACTTTACATTTGTTCTCAGGGGATAGCGATTCTCTAGTTATAAAAGGGAGAGAACTTTCAAAACAAGAAGAAATGCATAATCGCTAGATATTGTGACTGAGTCCAGTATTTTTGTATTGTGCTTTCTTTTTTGAAGTGCGTGAGGCTTGTCATGAATGGATTGAAACAAAGAGAGCAAAGTGTTTCCTCGAAAAACGATTTTGAGTGCTACTTTAAACACTCAGCGCAATTCCAGTTATTCAGAACAGACTTTGTTGTTGAAAGAAAATGGGACTACTGGGTTATACAGACTTTCGATTTATTTAAATACATACTTATGTGCAAAACTCTTGCATTTTAGTGTTCTAGCATCGATGCAATAAAATTGCACAACATTTAAAACACGTTTGATCGTTATAAGTGTTAAATGATCCCTCAACGTGACAGTTTCTTTGCCTTGAAATGATTTTCTTGATTTGGCCGGAGACATTTAAATGGGTTCTGAAAATAGCTCAGCTATCACCTGTTACAGAAAAAACAAATTCAGATTTTCATCAAACACTCTCACCACATTTAGCTTTAATTTTTTACAGTATTTCGTTAAACGGATGATCTAAATCTAAATTGAGTAAAGGTTTCCTTTGATGTGAGAGATTAAACTACAATTTAGCTACAGAGGTTCGTTTTCTCGGATGATGTGGCGAAATAAAATATTAGCCCTAGGTAAACCTAGAAAACCTTAAATATTAATAATGATTTACCCGAGCTCAAGTTATTGTCATTGTTATCATTTTTCCTCGCCCTAATAAGATCTCAGCAAGTTCAATAACTTGATTGAATCGCCGAAAAACATTTAAAACGATCCGTTTGGATTTGTAATATATATTTCGACAGGTCGGCACCTTTAAATTGACATGGCTTTATTTAGATTTTAGGGTTTGGGCACATATCAACTCCAGACCATTAAACTTCTCTGAATCTAGTCACTCTGCTTTTCACATTTTACCACAAGCCTTTAACATCTTTTCAAGCTGTTCACACCAGTCGTAACATGGATGTAAAAACCACCTAGCGTGGAGTCAGTATTGGTGGTTATTTTTATCCAAATCCATGGACTCAACAGGAAAAAAAACACGACCCGGCAGTATTCTTTAAAACAGCAACACAAACAAGTCAGCTCGTTAAAGATTCTATTATACCAGTTCATTTCCGCTATTACACCTACTAACTCTGGCGTACCCGTGTGCCATAATACAACAGGACGCTTTTGTAAACGTCCAGCCGAAATTATCCGCCAGACATGCTCAAGAAAGATTTCAATTGACCAACAAACTGCTTTCTTCTATACGACAAGCTGATAAAACATTGAACTAGGTGAAATCCATTCGGCCAGTCTTAGCGTTCCGTATAGCAAAACTTTAGTTGGTCATAATATTATCAAGTCAGATATTTCCCCCAGGGGCATACCCAACCTCGTTCCCAGGGTCTTTTCCTTGGCTTGGGGCCAGGGAAAAGACCCTGGGAACGAGGTTGGGGTATCCCTTGTATGGACTAAAAAGGTATGTGCGGACCCAAAGGGTATGTTTTCAGCCGCTTTGGTCATAAAGAGGGTATTCATTTTAGTCATTTTGGTCAAAAGCAAGGTATGGTTTTTGCACTCTAGTCTTGAATTCGGTATGTTTCTTAGAAAAGCTACTTTTTCATCATCATCGATAAGATCGATCAATAAAAGGAACTTCACAATGCCTTTAACATCGGTGTAAACTATGGTCCGGTCACAATAGAGTAGGGAAAGTGATTGTGGTCATAAATAGGGAAAGGGTTTGGCCTGCAGTCCGCACACCCTCACCCAACGTCTTTCGGAGTACCCCCTCCGAGGATATTTCACCATTAAATGATTTCTCCCTCTTCCTTCCCTCCCACCTTTTTGTTTTTCTCTCACAGTTCTTGGATTCTCTTGGGGCTGCAACTCAATCCAGTGCAAAACAGGATGGCAGGAATGGAATGACGCTTGCTATAAACTATTCACTGATCAAAAACCTTTCTCGGAAGCCTCCGCTACTTGTAAAAACGACAGTGCGAACCTTGTGTCAATACACAGCGCCCAAGAAAACGAATTTGTTCGAAGTCTGTTAGGGAATAGAGATGTTTTCGTTGGCTTTAGCGACAGTGATGTCGAGGCAACGTTTGTGTGGGTCGATGGAAGCACTGTTACGTATACGAACTGGGAAGCTAGTGAACCAGATGATGACTATGGCATGGGTGACTGCGTGATTGTTATAGGAACGAGTGGCAAATGGAATGACACGCCGTGTATCATGTGGTATGAGTTCATGTGTAAATTCACAGACGCGCAACCTTTAGGAGGGAAAGGTAACATTATTTCTATTTCTCCTTGAGGGAGCATTACTATATGTATACATCCCATCCGATCCCATCTACCTTCATCTCATATCGAATTTCACGCCCTCCCCCGACCCAACGGAAAAAAATCTGAAATTAATATAGTAAACATCCAGATAAAATCACCGAGATTCCTTTCAGGTTGGTCTAAGATGATTTTTATACACGTGGTAAAATAGGAATTTAGGTTACTGAGGCGCACTTTATCTTGAGTGGAAAAGGTGCTTACGGCGTGTTCAAATGAGTGTGGTCCTTCCTTATTTATGAGAAACATTTATTAACATATAATTATGGGCTTAGCTGGCCGTATTTAACGGGGTGGCCGTATTAAACTGAAGGGGTCATTTAAATAAATAAAAAATGACTGACTGAGCTTTGGTTCGGGCCAGAATAAAGTGGCCGTATCAACGGGGTGATCGTAAGGCGGGCTTCCACTGTACTCCATGAGTAGCCTGATAAAAAGCTTCTCTTTTTTTGTCTTTAGATAGGGATGTGATGAGCAAAGAACAGACTTTCATCAATTACGAGCAGAGAGCCCTTCTCTACCACGTGATCTACAAAACATCCACGCCGTCCCTGACTTATTGTGCGATGGTTTGTATGAATACTCTAAAGTGTAAAACGATCAATTACGAATCAGCGCTTGGCAAAGAGGAAGGGGAATGCGAACTTAATGACGCTACGGCGGACGAATTTCCTCTGCACCTTACGCATTCTTCGCGTTCGCTTTATTCTGTTCCTTATAGGTAGTGCTAGACGTTGCCAAAACCAATTTATATAATCGAACGTATGGTGGTAGGTACCAACATATCAGGACATTGAGAAATGTCAAATACTTAGTGGCAGCAGAAGTGCTTTCATCCGCTCGATAATTTCAACTAAATTGAAAATTTCGATCAGCAAAAGTTTAGGCTTATAGCTATCAAAACGTCAACCTCGTTCGATTTAACCTGTCTCGGAGCGAGAAAAATAAAACCTGCACCCGTCTTATAGCTTCTTATGTAACATAAATGAACTTGCGTGAATTTATTTGCTTGGGTAGTCTTGGAGTTATCTAAACTGAGATCGTGCGTACGAGAGACTCGGAGAGTCACTAAACTGCAAAGGGGGAAGAGCAGCAGCCTATTATATTCAAGCGTGACAGCGCCAAGACCAACCGCAAAGAAACAACAGCAGTAGATAATTTGGAAAACAACGATCCGGAACAAGTAGCGTGACAACCCAAAGACCAACTTCAAATAAAGAAACAACAAGCAGTAGATAATTTGGTATACAACGACAAGGAACAAGTAGCGTGACAACCCAAACACCAACTTCAAAGAAACAAAAAGCAGTAGATAATTTGGTATACAACGACAAGGAACAAGTAGCGTGACAACCTAAAGATCAACTGTAAAGAAACAACAGCAGTAGATAATTCGTTATACAATGCCAAGGTACAAGTAGCTCGACAACCCGAAGACCAACTGTAAAGAAACAGCAGCAGTAGATAATTTGGTATACAACGACAAGGAACAAGTAGCATGACAACCCAAAGACCAACTTCAAAGAAACAACAGCAGTAGATAATTTGGTATACAACGACAAGGAACAAGTAGCGTGACAAACCGAGGACCAACTTCAAAGAAACAACGGTAGTAGATGATTACTCATGCGCAGTATGGGCCATGAATTAAGGATTGGGCTCCGTTTCTCCGTTTTGGTGTCACATTTGTGCATGTAAATTTATGCCGGCATACATTTACCACGCTCTCTGGAACTCCGTCCGCCATATTGGATTCTTCAAGAAGGTGTCGATTTTTCGCAAACGTTCTGCTTTTTCCCCAATTTGATACGGTGTGAAAGTACCTATTAGTACTTTAGTTCGTTGTTAAGATTCTGAACTGGTATGTGAGCATGAATGAACAGCAACTGTTTCTGGAGAGGTAAGCCATTGTTCATGTCGATCGCCATCTGACAATATGACAAGTCTCAAATTTATTAGGGTTTTGGAGATTCAAGGACATATTACGAAGAACCATTTACCAAGAACGTGCTCTGTATACTTCATCTTTTGGTCAAAAAGTGCTTCCTGTTCGTGTAAATGGACGTGTTCAACAAAACGGGCAGGTAATAGGTCACGTTCGATATACCTTATATCAATATTCTAGCACTGTCTCCGAGGATTTCAGGACAAAAATTTCAAGTTTCTTTTGTCTCTCAAATCCCAAAAGATACTCGGTTACAGAAAAATTATTTTAAAAGAAAAATAAATGCTATAACTTGACGTTTCGGCGTTATCTTGTCGCCATTATCAAATGCAGATTAAAGTCGTTCAGTTTAGTTATAGTTATATGCTAGCTTAGGCATTAAGGAATCCACCAAAAGTTCGAGTAACAAGTGGGCTAAAACTTTTTACCGAGATTATTGGAAACAAACCAAAGACCAACTTCAAAGAAACAACAGCAGTAGATAATTTGGTATACATCGACAAGGAACAAGTAGCGTGACAACTTAAAGACCAACTTCGAAGAAACAACAGCAGTAGGTAATTTGGTATACAACGACAAGGAACAAGTAGCGTGGCAAACCGAAGACCAACTTCAAAGAAACAGCAGCAGTAGATAATTTGGTTTATTATATGGCTAGCTCCGTGAGCGGGCAAGGTGAATCAAATCCTGCGCTGTGATTGGCTACCCGAGCGGGCAAGATGGAGCTATCTTGCCCGCACGGGACTACCCGCCGTGACCCGCAAGAAAATTTTCCGTGAAAGCTATATAATAAATCCTTTATTAACCAAGCTTGTTCGGTTAAGATGGCTTGATATTGGCGTCGTTCTTTTTCTGCGAGTTTATGGACCTCGACTCCGTCTTGGTCCATAAACTTGCAAAAAAACAACTTGGCCAGTATCCAGCCATCTTGACCGAACAAGCTTGGTCAATAACCCATACATACAACGCCAAGGTACAAGTATCGTGACAACTAAAAGACCAACTGCAAAGAGGCAACAGGAGAAGGCTATTTGCTATACGACGCCAAGAAGCAAGAAGCGTGACGACCCAAAGACCAATTGCAAAGAGAAAACAGAAGCAGACTATTTGGTATACAACGCAAAAGAACAAGTAAGGTGACAACCCAAAGGCCAACCGCGTTGGTATACAACGCCGAGAAGCAAGATCTTGCAGCCTTTTTTAAATATTTAATAAGTTACAAATGGTCAGCGCAGGCACTTTCCTTCCCCCTTAAAGCAAGACAGCTCAGTAATATCCCCCGGGTTTACTCGGGCGTGTAACCATTGCAGTGTGCCCAGAAAGGTAAGAATTTGACATCAGGGGTTGTATTTGGACACCAAATTGAAGGGAGGGGGGCGTGGTTGTGAGTATTTGGACAACTTGCCTTGAAATCATGTGACGAAAGAAGCTTGAAGACGTCAAGAAACAACTCCGTTCTTTTGTAATAGTATGGCTTGAAAAGAAGGGCCTTTAATGGTGGTGCTATGTTTGAAGGCAAATGTACAGTTTTGCTTGTGAAATTCTGGTTCCTTTTACTCTTTTTGTTCGAAAATTTTAGAGGTTCATATCGGGCATTCGACGCGAGGGAGGGTTCCCGTCTATTCCATGAGCGTTTTTTCCACGAATTTTTGGTAGATGGAAATTTGAACAACGAAACTTCAAAAAACAAATGGTCAAGGGTTGCCAAGTGGTGTTGAAGAACTGATTGGTACATAACTCAGACAAGACAACGTATTGGTCTTTTTCTTTTCCATAATATTTAATTTGGGATAAGAATAGTAACTAGATACATTGTTTTGTACAGAACTAAGATGGGTAAATATCGCTTTAAATATTTTAGAGGGTGGTAAAGGGGGGGTGAAGATCATGTTTCACGGAAAATAAATTGGTCCTTTCACAATTTACGGGAAAAGAAGCCATTTCACATTTCACGAGAAAAACATTAGGCCATTCACGAATCACGAAAATACCCTTTACCACCCTCATTTTAGCATCGCCATATGAACGTTGTGAATTAAAGCCTAAAGCCTAAAGATAAATTCGCAATTACATGATTATTTATAATATCATAAACGTACTAATCACACAACATTAGACTTGATTAAAAGTTACCATGATTTTACTGATACAGTATTGAAGGTTTATATTGACGTGTAGGTTATAACAAAACCAAAGTCATTTTGATATCGTTCGGAAAACGTCCCTCTCCACTTACTAATGCATCAATTCATTGCCCATAAAATGTGTAAACATAAATGAAACCACCCCTTAAAGGAGCTACGTCACAGTTTGCGCACCTTGAAAAGTTTAGGCTAAATTTTTCAAGTTCGTCGTTTGTAATCCGTGTCAATCTTTCACAATCCTTGACCAGCCTTGTCCCTGTCTAGTTAATTGTTATCTCTTTCCATTGGTGTTTTTCTATCTTAGTAAACTACTATCTCCAGGTTTCCTTCAATTTTTAAAAATGTAATTTTGTACTTGGCCAAAATAACTCAAAGCACCTTGACTGAGCTCCTTTAATTGTATACAATATATTTAAGTTGTAATTATTTGTACAATTATCAGAATACATGTGCGTATACAATAAGTGATTACTGGAACATAAATAAGCTATTTACAGTGTAAACAGACTATAGAAAAAAACTGAATATAGAAGTTGTATCGATAGTTCATAAGATAATCGCTTTATTATATGAATGGCAACTGTAAACGACAGAAGTCCAGTCGGCTTTTGCAAACAATGGAAATTGTTTTTCCAATGCCCAGGTTTAGCGTTAACGTGTTTAAATAGCAGTTAAATATATGTATGAAATAGCTGGAGGAAACGACCTTAGAAAAGGTTTGTACTCCAATTGTCGTCTGTAATCTACGAACAGTTTGAGTTGTTTTTACTACAAAGTAAAGAAACATATGAACTCACAAAGGCATTGTGAACATTTCATGGGCATTTAAAGCTATCTCTACTTGAACTGTCCGCAGATCGATTTTATTCTTGGTTCAAAAAACACATTGCCATAAAATGTGCATATCCGAATTAATACTTAGATCAGTCATATGAATGACATTGTTTATGTGACTTAAATGAAGCGTTATGTTAATGGTTTACTCTTGTCGAAGAACACTAAGAGTTAACCTCAAAAGACGTTACCTTGAATTTTTGTTTAAACTTTGTTCTTGTGACGATGTTAACTGAACTGTCAATGCTTTGGAAATTTGCATCGTACAACTGCTGCGTAATTGTACTCGTTATTTGAAATGCATCACTACTCTGCATCATACTTCATTCAGTACTGTCAGCAAAACGAATCACTCTTCGCTAATTAAATAAACATATTTTGTTCAGTTATAATTCGTTACCCTGAGTATTGCATGATACCCACAGCCTGAGATTCTTATATTTTTTTTTTTCGCAGAATCTGCGTTCGTCGGTTGTTTAGATAAATAAGGTATTAGGCATATTCAATTGAATGACGGAGAGTTTCTCCGAATATTTAGCTGCTTATGGCTGAAATAACCTATTGTTTCTAGAAGTGGTCTGCCACTTATTAGAAACAGCGTCAACTTACAACGAAACTGTTGCGTCGTCTTAGTAATCTGATGAACCTCTCGGGAGTTCCATGGCACAATTGTTTTCATATTAAGATATTTTGTTAAGGATGTTATATAAAATAAATCTCGATGAAAGTCTTCTTACGTTGCCTCGCAACGAGTGTCACTATTTACATATAAGACAGAAATGTAGAGCGTATTCATGTGAAGGAAAATCGAATTTCATTAGTCCGGAGAGTTCTTGCCAAAACCTCTAGAAAACGAAGATGACTGGGAAAAAATTGCCTTTGCATCCCTCACTTCACTTAACTAATTTACTCCTAATTAATGGCTATGCAATGTTTTCTTGTGGCAGGTTGTGTGACATGATTTTTTCAGTACAAAGAAAACCCTCAAGTCACGTGTGGGTATGCCTCGAGATACTATCCCATAACTCCTCTGTATAAGCCTCTCCCTTCAGCAATAGACGAACAACTTACAAGACGGTATGACTTCTTATAAACCTCATAAAGCCGTTTTCCTGAACGAAAATGTCAGAATTCCTGAATTCGTTAGCATCAGATGTTCATGCAATGTCGAACGCATCTTGTGTGTTATTATTCAAAGGAAAGAAGTAGCATACGCTTAGCTGTAATAAAAGAAAGACCAGTAATTGATCTGGAAAATTATGATTGAAAAGTAAAAAAGTTGGGTCGTTGACGTTCCCCTAGCTTTGGGTTTTCCCAAAAACTCACCGGTCTCATTTACACTCCTGGCTTGATGAGAGAGGCTTTTTCAAAGTATTCAGTGCTAGCATCCAACAGTTAGAAGGCTGCTTTGGTACTCCTGAGCTTCATCAGCAGACCGTGCAACTCAGCATTATTCAGACAGTTTACCACAGAATATATAAGATTAAATGAAGTAGTAACCGCACGTAATATGATTAAAACGAGGTAGAACCTCACCTAAACGTCACATATGTTCTTCCATGCCGTATCCCCGATTAGAAAAGGACCACGTGCACTCTGTATAGAATCATCCCACCAATAATAACTATCATCTTTGAAGAAGTAGCTGATACCATCCCAATACCACCGGAAAGCACTATCGATGTTGTTAGGGAGACCGCGCCATACGTCACTAATTAGTTTGCCGTCGCTGGGGTAATGAGGATTGACTTGGTCCAAGAAGTTATCGTATAAGTACACTTTATCGCCTTTAAAAAAGTAGCTTTGTGTATTGCTATAACTGAACCCGGCATCAATTCCATCTACCGGCAGTCCAGGCCATCCCTCGGAGATCCTTTTGGGATAATTCCGATTGTCCACCTGACCTAGTCGATCGTTAAATTTATAGTACAGATGCCCTTTGAAAAAATAGGTTTTCCAGTTGTGACCCCAAAGAAAAACTTCATCGATGTCATCTGGCACGTTTATCCACTTCGAAGATATCGTTTTGGGGTAACCACGATCGGTCTCTGCGTCGGCGTCGTTGAGGCGCCAGAAACGATCCCCTTTAAAAATGTAACTTTTACCATCACCCATCCAGGATTCAATGGCAGTCACACTAGGGTTGCAATAACCTTCAAAGAAAGAATGGAACACCTTCTTAGACCTGACAAAATATGTATGTATGCAAAATATGCCATATGCAGCGCAGCACTTTTGAATCAAATAACGCTTTGCCATAAAACATCGTTTCAAGCAAGGTTTTTGATGGTGAAACGAGCCCGAACCGGAATTGATATTTCGTGTTAGGCGTGTCCAATTATGGCCCATGAGCGTCTCACTCTATCAATGTGGATTTCAGCATGATTCAGACAATTGTTTACGATCAACCAAAGGTACATTATATATTAATCTCTCTTTTTCTCGTGGCTTACAAATTTGCTTCAGCACCTCGCCAAAAAAAAAAAAAGACCAACATTTCTCCAATCGGAAGTGACGCGAGTTCAAGAACATGCATACATACATAAAGAAGTTCGAGAACTGGAGTGTTACATACCATATATCGCACGTATACCGTCGACGTCGTCCCTAGAAAGTACGGCATTGCTGTTTAAGTTACTTGTAGATGAAGTCATGATGGAACCAGGCACATCGGAATGATTCAGTCCTAGGCTGTGGCCTATCTCATGTACTGCAATCGGAAGTAAAGAGTCGACAGTCCACGTCTCGTCATCATCAAAGTGAATATCTCCTCCACTACTGGGGTAGAAAGCGTGAGCTAGAACACCGCCCGGGCCGTCAAAAGCCTTCATGTCTCCGTGGTATCCTAACAGCATAAATTAAGGAAAGATTTGAGATATATTTTTAAACTAAAGCAACTCGTTTCGCTTCTTGGAAGGTCATATCTATGCCGGACTTTGTTTGTCTCAACTAAAAATGATGTAATTCCCGAGTCTTCCAAAAGTTTGGTTGTTGACCCACTTATGCGGAAATTAACATAGTGCAGCACGGGAATAATAAACTGGAATATAACGAATCCGCTCATATGACAAACAAGTGTCGTTGGTACGGCCATTGGCTTCATCACCATTGAAAACACGAACGAGCCAATTTTAATCTAAGGTTGAATGGATGTTTAATCACCTGTTGAAGGAACCAGGAAACTTTTTTTGGCTCAATAAAAAATGTTTTCATTTCTTTATCAAAATTTAATGCTTTATTGACATTTATTACTTTGTGACAGCTAGCAGGAAGACAATAAACCCTACTCGAAATCACGCTGATAGACACAAGTATGCGCAATTTGCAAATTGGGAGTGTCTAAATACACACTGAATCAGAAGAAAACATTCGTTCTTCTTCGACAGGATTGATTGACTCCTTAAGCTTAGTGTAGAGTCTAGGGTGTCCTTAACACCGGTGTCCGAAATTAATTTTTTTATGCCTACATGCGTTGATTACAACTGTTGAACTGTGGAGCTCACAAGTTCGTTCCAATGTTTACCAGCAGTTGGAAAACGAGCGACAAGATGCGATTGGAAGTCCGAAAATGTCGGTCGTTCGGTTAAATTACGCAGGCCCAAGCTGTGGCTCAATCGAGACGCTGGTGTTTAACTTCCGCTCATTTCCATTGTTTTTAAAACCAATCAAAATCGAGCCTGTAACAGATCTCTCGGTAGTCACTCGTTTCGTCAAGCTTGCGCATTAAGGACTTGAGGTACGAGATTGCGAAGGTCATTAAGCGGGAATATTTGGAGGTTCAAAACTTCAACCAGGCAAGAGATAAGTTTCTTGCTGGTTACTCCGCACGAATTTTGTTGATTTAAGACGAAATAAATTCCTTGAGCGCCGGTCCAAAACATTGGCAAAGATGCTAAAAGATAGTCGTCTGCTGGCGACTAGCATCAGTGATTGAAATTCTGGTCGCCAACAGTCAATTTTCAGTCGAATTGGCGACCAGCTAGACCGAAATTTCAGTAGATCCTGATTGGCAGAGAGGAGTAGCACTCTGGGTGAGAACAAAACAAGACTGAAAGTTGTACTAATCGGCTCGATTTCATACTCGTCCTCAGTCCAATCTCAAGGTCTCTAGCTTTTTTTCATATATCAAACTGGGTGGTTTAACAAAAAGAAAAAGATTTGAGTCACTGATGACAGTAAATATACACTCTTTCTTTTTACAAGAACCTATTTTATAAGAACGTTGAGGCTGAGATTAACCAAAATTTTAAGAACGTATTAAGAACATTCCTCAGGTTGAGAGTCGATTAAGAACGTTTTTATTTTGCTAATCTGTATATTAAATGACAAGCATAAGACAAAGGTAGCAAAAAAAAAAAATGTAAATTAACCCAAATACTTAGGGGCATTAATACAAAATCAGCCCATCCTCAGAAATCCACCTATCATAGCCTACAAAAGAGGTAGATCTCTCCAAGACAAGCTCGTAACAGCCAAATTATGAGAGACATGTAATCACATCACATCTATCATGTGGGGAGTCCGTGCTGACCTGTCCTCATTATTTTTATACCACGTAAATTTAAGGACATCTTAAGAGTGTTTTCAGCCTCAAATCCCAAAAAAAAATATAAGAACGTTCAGACTCAGTTCCAAAATTAAATGTTCTTATACAAAGAAAAAGAGTGTATGTGGGTTCGCTTAATGACGGTCTTGAAAACATTCCTTGAGGTTTGAGTGTGTTCTTCAAGCTTCAAAAATGGCAACGGTGTAGTCCAGATCAATAACGTATCACTCATTTCCCGTGGTTCTAAAATCGTAGTTCGAAATAAGGTAAGAAGCAGTCTGACCTGGATAAAAATAAGGCTAGATTTATTTTGATTTCATACTCGAATCAATCGGAATATTACATATTACATATACGCGAGCTAAACAGAAAGGTATTTGGAGAGAAAGAATGAAGATGTCAATGGCAAGATGCCATTATTCAACACTTTTCATATCGTTATTACAGAATCTCAGGGATTATTATAGACAGAGCGGTTAGTAACACCATACTAAGACTGCTTCCGACACTTGTGCAAATGATTATATCTAGCTATTGTTTGATATAAATACTTGCTTCCTGAGCGAGGCTTGCTTCCGTCTGAAGCGACCAGACTTGTTAAGCAACAAAGTCGGTGGAGCTGGGCCAGGTTGATTTTGACAACACATGTGCATAAGTGAGATCGGAACCGGTAATCCTGAATCTCATCCAGCTTTGAGAAGAAAAAATACTTTACGTAGCAATTTGCCAGTTTTGATAAAACCTACCCAAAACCGGAAGATATGGGAACTGTGTCTGTGAGTAATTTCCTTGCGTTTTCGAAACCATAATTATATTATTATGACTATAACTATACGATAAAAGGTGCGGGAGAGTTCGAGCCAAATATAGTAAATAAAGCGGGAAGGCAGTTTGACACCTGCTCTACATATTTGAAAATGTGACGATGTGATGATGTAAAGGCCTGTAAAGGTTTCTTTAGTCCTCATTTATTCATATTTGTCTCAATTTAATGTAACATGTATTGACCGACATGAAAATAAACTTGATTAACAGATTGAAAGCTAATTAGTGTTGCACTGAGTTGGATACGCGTTTTGACGTGAAGAAGCTAGCTAGAGGTTGATTCCCATATGTTCTCTACGATCGCTCCAGAAAATGTTATAGTGGCTGAACATAGTTTTTGATACCAGTGTTTCATTCACCTTTTTCTCTAAAACTCCTGATCCTTTGGTCGCCAAAAATGGCAGCAAGTAAGTTAACAACACAACATCGGTTTTTTTATAGTTAAGCTGACGTATGTGCCATTGCCATGGCACATGCATAAATATAAACAGGCTTTTCAAATCAGTTTTGTTAATTTGCAGAAAATCTGGTCATTAGATTTTCATTATAATTAATGTGCATGCAACAAGCTTGTAATGATGCTCACAAGCTAACACTATTTTAATAATAATTTAGCAGAGAGATCTTTAATTATCCCTTGTTGAAGGTTCACCGGAATATCGAGAATTTACTTTGTTAAAGTTCTCTTTTTTTTTTTTCAATACTCCAGTTACTTATTTCCTAAAGTGTTTTCGTGCCAAATTTCGTGAAATTCTAATGTGGGGTTCTCGAGAAATAGGCGTATTTCCGAGAAAGCTATTCCGCATTCAATCGCAATTTTTTGACTTACTACGCGTGTGCTGCATCCTACCATAGTCCTTGTCTGATTTAATTGTATTAAGGGAATCTAAGGGTAAAATAATTTATACGTTCGCGTGAGCGAAGCAAATTAGAACGTAATTTCGGTTTTTGAGAACTGCTGGGTTCTTTGCATGGTTACCTTTTCTGACATACCTTTGTAATAAAAGACTAAAACGATCAATACACTGTGTTCAATTATGAAGAAAATTAGCACAGATAGCAATCATATAGAAATCTAGTTGCTTTACTTATCCAGCAAAAATTGAGAATATTTATCTCCTATGCAATATGTAGAGCTTACACCTTAGTTGAACATAGTCAAGAGTAATACGCCTGGAATGCGTAGCTTTCGCAACAAGCGCTCAGTTTCGTGGCGTTTTCTTGCCCTCCATCCCCCCACTACCCCGTTAGCTGACGCAGGCTACCCATGGTTTTCACGAAATCCGCAAATCGTGAAAGAATGCAAGCGATTAGGTAGTATCAACGTACAATCCAGAAGTTTTTACCAGGTTATAGATTATACTGGGCGAGGAAAGAGGATGAATGTTTTCACGTCATAGGCTGGCGCTTTTTTTTCTTTACAATATATCGGAAAACCTAATAAATACCGGGATATACTTTCGATGACACGAAAAAAGGTGTTTTGCCCTGTTTTGCCCTCACGTTGGTGCCAAGCAGTAGTTCATGGCTCTGCTGATGACGTCGATGAAGGGATTTGGATAAAATAACAAGGCATTTAGACAAACTGTTTAAGAAAATTTCCGGGTACAGACTGAAGAATTAGCTACCGGATATAAAAGCTAGAATTAGAAATCTTTCTCAACCATCAACTTGGCTTGATGTGTATTTGAAAAGGGCTTCTCGTGCTGGTTTCCGTATTTTGAGACTTCCCGTCGAGAAATAAAAATGTTATACAGAGACATCACAGGGCAATATTGTTGCGTAACTGGACAGAGGGCGGGGATATTAAGAACACTCCGAAATGATTGGCAAGGCCTACAACGCGTTAGACAATATTTTTGTGGTATTAGTGATTTAGTTGTTAGTTAAGTATCCTGCGTTCCAAAATATTTCAGGTCAGCAAGAGAATTCCTTGCATTCAGGAAAACCTCATTCCCGGATTATTGCATCATTCATCGCACAAAGTTAAGAAAGTGGGCGTTTACAGGCTGTGAAAGAAAACTGAAATAAAACTGTTGGCAAAGATAGTTTCTTCTTAGTGTGATATCGTAAAACGGGCGTGGGAAAGACAGCGAGAAAAATATTGCAAACTTCGAGAAAACGTTATGATTGAAATGAAGATATAGAAATGGTTTTGATTTTCTGCCGGAACGACCGTATTATAACAACGGAAATATCGGGTCTCAAAACACTAACCGGGATATACCTTCATGGCGGGAACGGAAACGGAGACATTTACACCGTGTCGCAACTGCAAACCACAACAAACATAGATGTCATAGATTTGTATAAAGAAACTTTATCTTTTAACTAAAAAAACTCAACGTTTCAGTGAAAAAAAACTCAGTTGAAGTTATTGGATTCGTCCGTTTTTTGTCGTTTTAAAGGTGTTTCGATAATTAAGAAGCTTGTTGAGCCAACAACTGAAGCTATTGAAAGACGTTAGAAAGGCATAAGGTTTGAGATGCCAGGACAATTCATTTGACTGCTTTGCATGTTTGGCCTTTCTTTGTGCTACGTGCACTATGATAAGGACTGATTCAGTGAGTGTGCAAAAATACCAATAACTGATGTTTTAAGGTTAGGAGAAGATGGGCGGTATGAGGTTCGCGTTTGGCACAAATACACCGTAGGTCAGTAACGCTGCACTTGGTTGCATAATTATTCGGCTAAGGAAATTCTTATCAAACAAAAAGATCCTTCCTTACCTGTGACAAACTTTACTGTTATGTCGGCAGTGGCTGATGAATCAAGCTTTCGGAATACAAGTGGAGAAACTTCTGCCCATTTCCTGAATGCTTTCGTTAGAGTGCTCTCAACGTCATTATTAGATAGGCTGGCGCTCCACTGAACGATATTCCAGGTAATTCTGCCTGAAGACCCCACAGGCCACTTGGAACCTTGCAGCACATAACGACGGCGTCTTAATTTTCCATTGCGAACCACATTTTCGGTGGCTTTTCGCCGATTGAATTTAGCCAGATAATGCAATTTCTTCTGTGTGGCTATCTTTCTTTTCGGTAAAATGCGCCCAGTTTTGGAGGAGAAGAAAAATTCTGAACGTAAATTTCCAGATCTTTTTAGCTTTTGTGTAACTGCTCGTCTCAAGATCGATGATTTATGGATGGTGTTCTCCACCACTGGCGGGCGTGCATGTCTGGATGTGTTTTCTTGTAGGTTTTGAAGTTGTAAGCTACGTTGATTTTCCTAAATCGGATTAAATCAGAGCAATTTATGAACGTTATTTTGACGTGATGTCAGGCGATCATGACCCATGTCATTCAGTTATAGTACTGCGGCAGCAATCATGACCCTGTTAAACTTCAATATTTACAACTAGCACTATACTTACTGTAGATTGCAGTCGAATCACTGAAGTTTGTCTTGAGGCGGCAGGCCTCGTGTCAGATCCGCTAAACAGCGTCGTCAATAAAATTGCCACTTGATATATTTCTAACTCCATGTTTCAGTGTTGTCGTTTGATTTATTCCACTTAAAGTCTTCCAGTGTCGTTGTTGTGCATACCCGTCTCACTTGAAGTCTATAAAATCAACGAGTGACTTCAATTAAGTATTGGCGACGCGGCTTTCGCTGTGGGGATAATGTTACAACACAGGGTTTTATTGGCTGTTAGCATAATTCTCCCGCGGCTTATTTCCCAGGAGTCTGTGTGGCTTTATCTGATAGGTGGATCAAAACAGGCTCACTTTATTCGCATTTTACCTCTCTCTAGGCTTTCAATGAAACTTTTCAGCAAGGTAATAGAAATTTGTCTACAATTTCAGCCACCCACTAGAAATTATTGTCAATCTGGACTCCTGTTGTCAATAAAAGTCTTCTTTGTTTACATGTATATTTTTGTCCGTATATTCTCTCTCCCTTCATCTTAATTAATGTCCCTTACTGATTTGCTTGCACATGTCAATAATAAATATTGCAGATAGTATTGAGAGTATTTAATAGCGCATTTTTAACCTAAAATCAGCTCTTTGGGATAAGGCCTTTCACTTTAATCAAGATCGCAGTTTGAGGCCAATAGGAAAATTACTTTTTTGCCCCGATCCCCTTCCCCTGCTCCTTAAAAGTTTCGCACTCGCTTGCAGTTTCGTATCCTCTGTGTGCTTTTGGAAATGAAAGCCTGCTATGCAGGCTATGAAACCAGTATCATCATACTCTGGTCTGTAATAACAATTCAAGATCTATCGGTGACATTGTACACAAGTGTCCTAACCAATTAAAATGATGTGTTTGTTCTTACCAGCCTTATACGAAAGAAAGGAAAGAGGAGTACGGCAAGTGCAAAATGCGGAGTATGGAAAACAAGAAGAGTGGCAAATGAGGAGTGTGGACAATGAAGAGTCTTTTATTTCTGGGAGAGAAACCTTAAAAGTCTGTTAATAATTATGCACTAATTTGCATACCCTAAGCCTGCCTAAGCGCGGCAAAACGTCGAAACACCAATAATTGCTAACAGCTGGCACGAAACGGTAAAGTTAACGCTGAAACGTTTATCGTAGTGTAACATATTCACGACAAATTGCTTTTTGACTGTTGCATCTGAACATTTCAAACTGCTCATGCTGCAAGCCTCTATACCAAGAGGATCATAACTCTAATTGCAGTGTCCATGGTTTTTTACTGCACGTCATAAACACCGTACCTTTTCGGGGCTTCTGGGTTTCAACCGCCGTGAAGGTCCCTACTGTGAGGCTGCAGCCGTGGGGCAGTGTTTTCTATCCGGGCACCCGCTCTCTTGCTCTGTTCGAGCCCGAGCGTATTCATAAACTAAATCATAATGACCGATCAAGCCTGCTTTTGATCTGATCAATTAAACGTTAATTGTGTGGTATGCTAGCCATACAGCGATAACAGATCTTGTTACTCTAACGGGACCCTAACGAGGGTTCAAGAAACTTATTTGAACTTTTATTTGTGTTACTAGCTCGTAGTGTTATCAATATGACCGTCAAAAACAACCAAATACTTGTTCTTGGCCAAGGTTTGTGTGCGTGAATGCATACCAAATTACCTACCCAACCTTTTTAAAACACCAAAGTTCCTAGTAGATTCCTGTGCCATAATTAGTTTGGGTTAGAATTCAATCAATGAGTTAGTGATGGGAAATTTAGCAGGTATTTGAACTGAGCATAAATGGTGGCCTTCATCGGAGCTGTTTATGACACCTGATAACACCTAAAATATTTACATTCAAAATTTAGAATACAGAAGGTGCGGAAAAAATGATAATGACGGCATATAGGAAGATAACATCAATCACCAGAAGATTATTTGAAGTACTTTAATATTTTAGCGGCAAAATCCACACGTTTGTTTTCTTGTTATACCAATTTTTAAAAAGTAGTACTGTTCCCAGTCAAAAGGAAAAGGAGGATAAAAATTAGAGATGCTTGAGTTAAAATAAGAGATCCTTTGAATTATAGGTGTACTTGTTTGTGGCATTACATAGTTGGCGGCTCGCAAAGTATGCCGAAAATCGATACCATACGTTGTGGTATGGCGCCCCAGATAACGTAAAATAGACTAGATATGGTGGGGAAAATCAATTTAGCAGTTGCAACTCTGTCAATAGTGAATCCCTCTTTCAAAGTTCAATCGGTATTCTTTTCATAGTAAGCTGACGCGCTGAATGGCCCGTTCTGAATAAAGAGGATCCCCCAAGGGTTGATCGGTAAGGCGGAAACACCCCTTGATGGATGACAGGTGGCACGGAGATCTACTGTAGGATATTTTCTTAAGCGACCATGCTATTCACGTTTGCTATTGATAAAATATGCTACTGTTGCGTAACGTTTCTCCCATGGAACTGCTAATACACAGGAGTGCAACTTTAAATATTTATGGGACGAGAGTCACTTCAAAATGTGATGAAAAATAGTACAAAATGTGATAAAAGGTTTCAGAAACTACTATTATATTTACTGTAGTCAAAATTTACCTACAACTTAGCAAGACTCAATTATTGATGATAAAAAAAAAAACACTCTTCACCTATTTAAAAACATTCGTAAATCGCCTCCCACACGCAGCACTGTGTTGTGGTTGTAGCTTCCGGTAACAACTCGGTTAATGCTAAATAAATATGTTTAGTCCGTCTACACAATGTCCACAGTATGGCGTTGTAGATATATGGGAAGTAACTAGAGCTAAAGAGCAACTTGGAGGATCCTCGTATGCTGTAAATATCTCAATTCTCTGTTCAACCCAGCTCTGGGTTAACCAGATGCCAGTTTGCCAGAATACTATTTTACTCACAATTATCGTGACGGAGCTGCTAAACAAAATGACAAATCCTTACGGCGCCAAATGCTGCTGTAGGGGTGGGGTCGAGGAATAACCTGAGAGAGCTCGCAAATATATGATCGCGTTATTTTGTGCGAAGGCTTGGAACTTAAAAAATTATCAAATTAGGAAAGTAGTAAGGTCAATATCGGGAATTATAACACCGTGAATGAGTATGGCTGTGTGCTCTCTTGCTTGTGCGTGACGTTCTTCAAGGCAGTGGCGTCAAGACACACCGTTCCCGTCAATAAAAAACATTTTTTAGCTGCCGTTAATTTTTGTACTAAATGGCTTAGCATCGAATGTTAGAGGTATGTTCAAAGTAACGCTTTTCAACAGCGATTTCGATTTCATCATGGAAACAGTTTATATGCTTGAGACTGAGATTGTTGCCGGAGACATCTATGATATCTTGCAAGGAATTGTTCCGCTACACACATCATTCAGATGTGTGTGTTTCCTCAACTTTCTAATCATTATCATAATTCACTATCGCGTTTCCTTACTAAGGTGTCTTCAGTTTCTAAATGGATAAAAGTGAAAGTGACTCTACACATGGCAACAACGTCCTAATCTGAGCTCAACCAATTATATAACGGTACAGGTATCACAGATTAATGGAGTTAATGGAGTGCATTCGTCAAGTTTCTAAGTAAAACTGGCTTGCGCTGGACCTGATCAAGTCATTTTCAGCTTTGTTTATGGACGTGTTCTCGTTCCCGCCAAAAAGCTGCGCAATGCTGAGTAATAGCAGTGTTGCGCAATATTTTGACGGGGAAGAGAGGCACATTCGTCATAGCGCTTTGCGCACGCTAAATCAATACGTGCTTTTACCGTATTTCCGGTCATCGATTATCGGGCGGAAGGTACGCAAGCTATTTCCTCTAAAGGGGTATCTGTAAAGCTTTGTCGATGGGGCCGCGTAGAAGGCCACACACGGTTTGTTGTCATTTGACTTTGCGGGCCACTGCAGTGCAACTTACCAAAATACCGCTTGTTGTATTAGCCACAAGGAAATACTATTATAAAGACTTCCGAGCAGCCAACTAACTACGCGACGGTCTACGCAAGTTTGTTTACAAACAAAGTTGTGCGTATTTCGAAAAGCACGTGCTGTCCGCTTCTCAACTGATCTACCATACTATGTTTACAAACACAAGATAGTGCGTATTTCGGAAACACGTATTCTTATTCAGTTAAGAGCTCTCCTTGGTGCTTTTTCCAGAGCCCATATATCAGGTCACGCGATCGATACAGAATGGTACTGTGTTTTTTTTTTTGTTTTTTTTTTTTTCATTTCCAGAGTTACGACTGGGAAAGGTCTCAAAAGTCGTAACTATTCTAAGCACCTTTACCACACAGCTAGACCAAAAATAACTTTTTAAATGAGGTGATCATTCCATGGGATCGTGTGAGCAACAAAGTCGCGTGATAAGTAAGTGATACGGGAGTAAGTGCCGACACGACCAGCTAAATCACATAGTTACTGAAACAGACCGTTACGAGAGCGTTTTATATTTCACTGCATTTGTGCAATGCCACACAGTTCGTAAGTGGTCGTTGTGCTTACTGACTTTCCGCAAAGCTAATATATTTTGCATAAATAACGACAAGCGCCACGTACCGACAAGGTCTGTGTCGCCTGCACTGGTATTTTTAGTAAAAACACTTGTTAAGGATGCAGGTGGTTTTCGTGGCCCACTAAGTGATTGCTCGTGTTGCTTGACCTCTCTTATCACTTCAGTGTCATTTCCACTATTTTACGAGCAAGTTCTATGCTTAAGGCAAGATGTTTTCATTGGTATGGACAATTCTAGACTAAGCCTTGTACTTTCGACTCCTAAGCCTAAACACGTAGAACTATCCCTTATTTTGTTGGCATTTTACTCATTTAATGAGACCTGAATGACTTGATATGTGTGTAAGTTCGATTTACTAACATACAGACTGAGTTGGGATGAGTGTCGTTCCCAGTATATTGCTTGCTGCAGGTGTAAAATTTATAGTAATTAATTCGTAAGTAATGCAATGTAAGACAGAACGGGAGATTGGTCAGCAGAGGAAGGGTTATAGTCTCACACTCTACGGGGCAGAACTGTGGCCAAAGAAAGCATTAAAGTAGAAAGTGCATTGGGAAGGATTCTTTATATAACGCAAAGGAAAATAAGAATATATCACAAAGAAAAGAAGACGCACTAAAAAGAAAAATTAGACTTGAAGGGTGAAAGGTACATTGTAACTACAATGCAATGACCTCAAAAAAATCTGACGCAGCATGTGGATTCTGGACTGGAACTGAGCAGAAACAGGACTTCCGGTAGAAGAGACTATCTCATAAAGTGAAAAGCTACTGCATGACAACCACCACAGCCTGCTCAAGGTTGCGTAACTGGTTAGTGATAGGATTTCCTGCGCGAGTGCTGTTACACAGTGAAGTATAACGAGAACAGCGAAGTCGGAAGGAACAACATCAAGAGCTGCCAGTGAGTGACAGACAAAAACAGGCAAACAAGCGGTCAGGGTGAAAGCCACGATAGGCAAAGAGTAAAACATGATTAATGAAAATCACTGCTAATAAGGTTAACTGAACCCTGAATAGTTGACAATAAGTGGTTTCCGCTCTGTGGGGCGTGGCTACCTAAGTAAGCCGGGCGCCTATTGAAATAAATTTGCGTAAAACACTAAAAGGTTACCGGGACCTGAGGAAGGTGAAGAAGACTGAATGCTGTCAGAGATCTAAGCGCGTTTCAGAAACTAAGCAGCTTTGCCCGAGAGTTTCCTCGCAAGGCCTCTCAAGGCTTTTCCCTTGAACTTTGGAAGGGGCGAAAGAGAATGGCAGTGTGTGCATAACCATTTATATAGATAGACGTAAGACCAGCTCATAGGGCCAGAGCTGGTTTTGATTTAAAATTTGCAGTAGGAAAAGACTGTTAATCCCAAACCAGAACTGAAACACTGATTTTGTTCTCACTTAAAACCATCAGCGGCGGGAGTTTGGTGAACTACGAGCAGTGGCAAATAGGCGGTGGGGTAAGAGTGAGAGACGCTAGGTGGAACCTATTCAGCGGGCTCTTAACCTTATTTATAGATCAGATTTATAAGTATTCAGCCGGTACCTGTTTACGTCATGACCTCAACATTCCTGCTCAAAAGAAAGGTCAGCTTGAACTAGCTGAATATTTGCTTGAACACGCGCAAACAAATAAGACTTTAATCTATCTTATTTCCTCGCCGCCAAAAGTCACCTTACCCGGTTGTCGGTGAGCTTTTGAAACACGGTCATGACGTCGCTGTTCATAATCAATGACGCCTTCAATTGTCCACGTGTCCGTGAAATGAGCAGCCATTTAGGATAAATCAGGTCGGCCTCAACTCAGTTTAGACTTTAAACCAAGAGCTATGAGTCTTGATTAGCACGAAAATCAACCAATCTCGAAACAGTCAAGGCTATTTTGATTTCGGCAAAAGAACTACCCTTTCAGCACAGTAGATATGCACTGAGGAAGTAATAGCTCTAGTCTGTTACATTTTCTGACTCAACTTTACGGAAACCTTTTATCAGGGATTAAAAATTGTTTGAAAATTAGCGATTAGCATTCGAATAACTGATTTTCATTTACCTGCAAATGGAGAGTACAAACTGAAATCCTCAGCAAGACGACACGAACAAGGATTGTGATCAATATGACAACCTTGGCTTTGTTTACTCACTTGTTGTAAAGGATAAATTGAACTGGATCTGAGTGGTAAAACGTGTACAATAATCATTAAAAATGCAAATTAAATTCGAAAAATATATTGGTGGTCTCGATGCAGTGTTAATATTTGCGAAATTTGTTACACTCACCCAATCAGGGGTCATTTAAAAGGATATGGTATATTGAACTGATTTTAACTGTAGTCTCGTAGTATTATTAACAACTGTCTTGGTTTCACAAAGTCGGCACAAAATACCGTTAAAAATGGTGATGATTCTCTACAAATTCTACTTTTGTTAATTTTGTTAGTAATAAACAAGATGTTCTGTACAATATTTGAACATTTGCTCGTTCGCTAGTGATTACTATATTGACTTACATTCCATTCACGCTTTTAAAGCTTTTTAGTACTTCTACAACAATAATTTAATCCTATACCTTCGTCACACACCGCAAACTGAGTGTGCCGCCTGCATGTTTTAGTTTTTCTGATACATTTTCTATAATCGTTCCACCAATCAAATCGAAGACACGACTACCGGATTTCCAAAATGCCTAGTTATGTGTACTGTGCGATTGTGATGTGTAAAATTTTAAGCCTGGATTTTTGAAAGTTTACAAATTGACAATATCTCGGAAATGAAATTTTACGGGAAAGTATTTGATGCCGAAATCTCACGCAAACCACTTTGGGAAAACGATTGTAAAAAATTTGTAAAAGTTCGGTACGTTGGTAAAATTTGTGTCAACTACAACTCCCATTAAAATCCACATGAAGGTGAAAAACGCTGCTTGAACGAAAATAATTCTCGAAACAGTTATCATGGAAAAGTTCCGAGTTTTAACCTTATCGGGGAAAATGTGAAACATTTCAGACCACAGACTCGCTGTTAATGAAATGTCCGTACTAAATCTGCACATTTTTTTACGTAAAGAGTTACAGAACTTTGCACTTTTTCCTGTTAGTAACAAATACTTCTTACGTTTTTTCAACAGATATTTCATGCAGTTTCGTTGTCTTTGTTATAGAATGTTTATGAAACGTTTGGACTGATTCTGGAAACTGAATGGCAACTGAAATAAGAAATAAAACACTTTAAAATCTCTGAAGAATAACTGTAAAACAACTTTAATGTTGGTAGCCACTGCTATTTAGCGATCTTGGGCGTTCGGTGACCCTTCTGGTTTTTTTTTCTCTATCATTTTCCTACGTTTTGAGAAAAAAATGAGAAAAATGTATATAACTTTATCTTAATTAGAAGTTTTAAATATTTGCCCTTCACACCATCGAATTCCGTTCATTTGAGCTCTTCCTTTTGGCAATGACCTTTCAAATGCCTCTTTGTAAAGCATTAAAGTTTTGTGAAAAGGATGGTAACATTTGAATTATGAACGCAACAGACATAGCAACATAGTTTGCCTCCATTGACTCAAATTTACTGGGAAATTTAATATTTTTGACTATTTTTTTGTATCAATGTCCATCGAGCCCGTGGTTTTACAAACTACAGATTAAGATAAGCCTATATGTCTCTTCGAGTTGTACACCACCAAAACACTGTTTGAAAACACGACTTGTTAATGCCGTCTGGTGAACGAGAAGTGAATGGTACCAGACACCTGTGAACTATGTCTGCTTACTGCTGAGCGTAAATAACATGCTCTTGAACGACGAAAAGTCTTATAGCAGCAGAAAATTGAAAACCTACCGGTGACACGTTTTTTTTACCACTCGTTTTTGCCCAGTTTCTAATACCCAACTCCTAAATTGTTTGCAATGCAATCTCCGCTGTGAACTTGAAGGGCCTTGAAGGACGTTTTGTCTCCCTTTTGGCGGCAAGAATGCAAAAACAAGTAAACTATTTCCACGAGAAAAGTAATCCGCCACGTTTTGATATATGAGAAAATGAAGCGACAGTACAAAACAGGCAAGCTGAAAAGCAAGGCTGGCGCGCCGCGTCAAAAATGGTGCGAAATTTGAGATGACGTCAAATAATCCTCTAACATTCTAACTTTTTAAGTTAAAACTCTCTCTTCAAGGGAGGGGTGGGGAACCTAAAACAAATATGTTTCAGGGATAGGGGCTTTTGATCTCCTATTTTCAATCTGTTAAGGGGCAACAAGTCAAAGTTTTCAAATTCAAAACCCGTGTGTGATGGACTTATTTTTGTTACAAATAACCTTTATTCAATCACAGCAAAATCATCACTATCAAAGCTAAAAAAATTAAAAGGTACATGATGGCCTCGCGGAAATTCTGATATATACGAAATTTATTTCGTCTCATTTTTCGTTTAAGCTGTTCAGCAGAGGCAGCACTTGTCAATTCTTGGGCCCCACTGTAACTAAAATTTCGTTTTAAATGATCTGCGTGAGGATTGCAGTAAGAACACTCGACAATTTTGATATGCTTTTTGAGTGACTATAAAATGAAGACCCTTTGTATAATGTACAAGATTAGTGTTTTACACTGTAAAAATGCTTAATAATCTTGTTAACATGAAGAGCCCCCAATATTAAGTCACTGAAAAAATGTAGAAAAAGGTCCAGGTGTTCACAATTCCAGCGCCCTCAGTGTTATCTTCTCCGTTTCCGCGCGACGGGGAGTGGAAAATTGTTGTAAATACGCAAGGGCAAGTTTATTGTTGTTTTAAAAGCAAATGATGCTTATTACTCTTGTTTATATGGAGCCCTCATTCTTTAGCCACTACAAAAATGTACAAAAAGATGTCCAGTTATACACAGTTCGAGTGACCTAACTGTAATAAGGAGCTTAAGCAACGACGACGGCGACGCCGAGGACGACGCCTAGTCAAAAATGAATTTATGCGCCAATGGTTCTTAAAGCGTGCTAAGGCAGAATATGCAATCGAGAGCGTTCAATTCCAAATGGGAATACGACGTAGAACTTGGTCATTTCACCATGTTGTTTTGCAGAGGACGGCAAAGAAATGTACAACGCTTTATAACGCACGTGCACAGCTATTGTTTTGCTCATTATAACCTTTTGTTTAGTGACGTTCTCGTTTCCGTCGTGGTGGTGGTTTGCTTCAATTAAGCTCCCTAATATCTTCTTCGTCTCTCAGATGGCATTCCGCGCGCGCGACGGGCAATGAAAACTTGCTGTAAATAAGCTTGGGCAAGTTTGCGCGCTTTTGTTTTAAAAACAAATGGCGTTTCCATTTGATTAAAAAAGAATTGTGGGTGCAGGTCTCCAGCCGTTTCGGAGGAAATGAAGAAAAGAAAACGGAAACCAGACAGAAGAGGGGTGGAAATTACGTAAGGACACAAAATTCAATTATGATGACCATGCAAACCACTAAGCTCTTTGCGGACTGGCAACAGCCTGGAATGTTAACTAGCCAATCATCTAGGATTAAGTACGGATGTTCCGCATCCTTCTCAAGCACTTTTAGTTTTACCCCCAAGAGCAATGGCAAAACACCCCCGCCATACCTAGAATTTTCGTCCTCAATTTGACGCATATTTGGCAGAAAACTAAAAAATCTTCGGGCAAATACAACTTTGTATGGTGTTACGGACTGGCGGCTTAGCGCGCTGAAGGTGGAGGAGGCGGCTACAGTCATGAAACAGTTCGAGCCTTCAAGTCGCGTTTAAAATGACAGCAAAACAAATTTCAGCGGGAACGCTGTTTAAAGGGCCTCAAATAATTGATGTAACCTCAGCTTTAACACCTTCAACGGAGTTTCAAAGTAGTCGATTGTTTTGTGAAGGTCCAATAGGATGATGAGCTGCCTGATAACAGAAAATATATAAAGAAAAGTGTGCGTATGGAAGGGAATCGGTTAATAACTTGAATATTTCTCTTACTAGGGGACAAACGGTCCATAAAAGGCGGGTGGCGGACCCCTTGCTTCCTGATCACCCGCACATTGTTAAACGTATTGCAGACTGAGGGGACGCCGTTGCGCCCTTTCAAGTTTACGCAAGACGAACCGAAAACAGGTTTTGCAAGCCTGCGTAGCTTTCGGGATTTCGCGCTTTTGTTTTGGCGGCGAGGCCATGAACGTGAGTGGCAAAGCCGCGAGAGGATTGGTGATGACTCATGGCTCCGCCACCAAAAATCACTCGCTCGCGAATTCCGCCAACTACGCAGGCTAGGTTGTTCGGACACGAACTATTTTTCTTACTTCACAGTGATAACCAACTTTACTTCCAAAAGTGGCTGCAGGAAATAAATCGTCGGATCAGAATCAAATCTAATCCACACCCTAGACTCCACATTAGGCACAATTTCGGATACTTTTCTTTTTAATAATCACGTAAATTACATATTTACAGTTCAAGCATGAGAAATTATTCACCACCAATAACAAAGTCGATATCATTGCCTCCTAAAATTGTCTCTTTAAAGGTTACAACCGTTCGTGTTCAAATAATTTCATGCTGGATCACTAGCAAGGGAAAAACTTACTTTTGTTGCCAGTGCAATCAGAGGTTACATCTGACACCAGAACAGCTGAAGGCTTAGGTTCTCACTATCAATAAAGTTAAGTCAAGATGAGGCCGCCTCCTTCGCGACGCCATCACCAGGTTTGGGTGCCACTGGTGTCTGTTCCTTCACAGCCGACTGTGCGACTGCAGGACTTTGCCCAGCAGCCGCCACCTGAGCCGTGGCTACCGATTTCCTAATCTGTTGAACAGGAGTTGTACCAAAATTTGAAGTGACAGGGGTAGAAATAGTCTGTGACTCCGTAGGTTTTGGAGCAGATGCAGTCAACACTGTCTTAGTCTTGTTGAGAACTGATGCCATTTGCGCTGAGGGTACCACTTTGGTCCCAGAAACCGCCGTAGACGAAACGACTAGGGTGGGTGCCGCCTTGGGGATTACCTGTGTACTAGCCACAGGATTGCCAAGCGTTTTACCAACCACAAAGGCTGTTCCGGTCTGAAGGTTAGTAACGGGCGAGCCAGAAGAGATGAGCCCCGTGATCTGAGTAGCTCCCGCTCTTGCAACTGTTACTGCTCCTGGAAAACTTGACACCGCGCCAGTCTGCGGGTTGGTAGTCCTGCTTGCTGCCGGTCTCTGCACAGAGACCACTTGTCCGGGAATGGTCCTTACTGGCTGTGTGGCGACGGTAGTTGGCCGAGTGCTCTGAACGAGAGTGACTCGACCACCGGGTTGTGATATTGTGGTGCTGCTCGGTAGTTTGCCTGCTAACGCAGCAAGACTCACAGGTAACGAGGTAGCGACAGTTCCTGGCGGACCAGACACTTTATGAGTGACTAATGTCTGACCACTCCCTGAAGCTGACCTGACAGGATGGCCAAGGACAACTTGGGATTGTCCAGCTCCACTTGCTACAGTTGCGCCACTGACCAACTTGTACGAGCCTTTGAGGCCAGCAGATGATATCGCCTGCGACACTACCAGCTTGTTACCGTCCTTAGTCAGAACGTTGATAGTTGATGGTTGTGACATCTCACCCACACGGGTGAAAGTAGGTCTCCCGGAGGTCAGAACAGCTGACGATGGGGAAAACTTGCCAAGGGAGGATGCCGCAGCTAAGGAAGCGCTAGATACTGGTACAGCACCCGATGGAAACGAGGGAGCTTGCGTTGTTACAGTAGCACCCTTGAGACTCACTACAGATGTAAAGGACGAGCTGGGTGATTGGGAGAGAGGTGTTTGTCTGACTGGCGCTGATACAATGGTCCTTACAGGCAGCTGAGCTCCGGGCGGTGCAACAGCGCCTTGAGCCGTCAGGGTAGCACCAACAGCACTGAGGTTCACAGGAGTGTGACGCTGGCTTTGAGGTTTAATGATATATTGCACTGTCTGTCCTGTTGCTGAACTTGACGACATGACGGATGGAGAACTCCCGCGAGGAATGGTGATGAACGTCTGCGTGACCCTTGCTCCAGGGTCTGAGCTCTTCGGAGTAAGGGAGATGAAGGTTTGTCCCCTGCCACTGGAAGCCAGCGCCGCCGCTGAAGCACTTGTCAGAGGCACCTGGCGAGTCACAGTGGCACCAGGAGGTAGAGGAAACCCTGGCAGAGGGTGCACGGGAATGGCTTGAGGGACACTGCTGACTACAGTTGTAGGCGTAGCTCCAGTAACGTGAATGATACTTGGAGGCGGGTTGGCTGTTTTTGATTTAGACTTGGAAGTCCTTGGCCGCTTAGCAGGACTAGGCTGGCTCAGCGAACGAACGCTGCTTATAGCCCCCATGGTGTTGCCAAGGGGTAGCTTAAGAAGTGTTTTTCCCTGATCTTGAACGGGAGCCTTTTGAGGTGTGGACTTCTTGGCTGATGCGTGTGACGTCAAAGCTTGCTTTCCTACAGAGCGTTCCATTTCAGAGCTCAGGTCACGCGACACTGACCGTTTCCTTTTCTTTTTGCGAACGTCCACCTCATCTATATCCGAGGAATCATTTCTGTTGTGTGCGCTGTTGTTGTTCATACTCGTCAAAACAAGGCCTAAGAAGTCACCAATCTCGTCCTAAAAACAAACATCAAACGTCACAATTACAACGCATATTTGCGTGACTCTCGTCTCTCTTTTAGACTGTAACGCGACGATTCTATTTTTTTTTTTTTAATTTTACAATAAAATTACACCACTTACAATGCTACAGCTACTTATAATACAATATGGGCACACACAGCTACTTACAACACAATTAAAAACACTTCCTATAATACTAGGGCTACGAATAAATACTAACGTTTCTTGCTAACATAACTTGCTAATTAAAAGTGTCACGCAACGATTCTACGAATAAATGTATTGCGCGACGAAAAGCACAGGGTGACGATACGTGGTCGAGCATTACATAGATGCAAAGGAAATATGGTAAAACGATTTACAAAGTCTTGCATGTACCGTCCAGTCACTGTTTCAAATTTCGAAGAACTTCATCACGTAGTTCTCGTAAATTTTTGTAAGGTTTCGCTTGCTATATTTAGTAGCATAGTGTAATTATTTGACCATACAGCGGAACCCCGATTTTTCGAACCTCCAAGGGAAAGAAAAATTGGTTCGAAAAATCGGAGTTCGAGAAATCGGGGGTAAAATTACAGTGTTCGACTGTGGAGGGGGAACAACTTTTGGTTCGAGTTATCGGGAGGTTCGAAAAAATGAGGGTTCGAGGAATCGAGATTCCACTGTATTATAACACAGCCATATTCGCATTTGCTTCAAAAGAAACACATACCATGATCAAGCGATCCACCATGCTTTGTGTGAGACCCTCCTGTTTCTTTTTAGCTCGAGTCAAACGTAACTAGAACGTAAAGTAGATGATATAAAACTCAGTCATAGCTGCATCTGACATCTTATTTCTCCTAAAGTTATCCAAACGCTCTCAAACAAACAGGGGAGGAGAATTAGAAAAAGCATCCACTCGAAGAAAGGGACCTACTGAAATCTGAAAAGCGTGCCAGATTCATATCTTATTTGTAGTTATTATCTGGATTATCACGTATTGCTGTTATCTAAGAGTGCGTGACAACCACATAACTGCTCAAAACAACCTCGTTCCCAGGGAACGCAGTTTTGCTGAAAACCACTGAACAACAACCAAAAGATATCTCTTATGCTGACTTCACTGACCTGTTCATCTGCCCCTCCTACCACCAGCAGACTAGTGTCTGTTTTCATCTTTTCACGCATTTCCTGTAACAAACAAACACACACACACACACAAAGGTAAGGACAGAAAGAATGTATAATAAATTATTAGGCCCAAAACGTGGAGAAACTTCTTTAAATCATGTTGTTGACAGGTAAATTGTGTCAGCTGGATAAACTCCTCTAGGAAGACAATTTGTAATTTTCTGTTAGAATGTAGACATCTTTACTATTGTAAACAAATAGAGGAAGGGTAAAATCATAAGTGTTGAGATAGGTAAATGTGTACGGAATCAATGATGAATTATTATAATTTGATGAGGAACTGTGGATAATTTGTCAATTGTTTCAAAACCAAGAGAGTGAATCTCATTTCCTTTGATTGTAACAATTAATTATAAGTGTTTTTAATTTGATGAGACTGTATCTTTGATGCTCATCTACACACATTTCACACCTTAACAATACAATGTGTAGTTCCAGAAAATACCCATACCTCCCCCATGGAAGAGATTTCTTCTATGACCCCTCAACCCTCTGAAAATTCCAATTGAGCTTCATACATGTCTTTAAATGTTGTGGTCTCAAAGACCCCCCACCCCCAGGGAAATTCCAATCCCTTCTGTGGGGGGGAGTATGGCTATTTTCCTGAACTGCACAATGCACATTACACTACTTCTTCTACAGAAAAGAATAGCAAGAAGTCTCAAGCAATTTAGAGGTTGTTCTGTCAGCAAATCCAACCACATGAACTGTTTGTTTCAGGCGTTGCAAAGACAACAATGAGAAACACTTGTACCTCAACATCTTCTTGGGATGTGAGAGTTGAATGTGAACCAATAATAAACAAAGTGGGTGTCTTCAGCTCCAGAAGAGGATCTTCTACACCCTGCAAGGAAACAAATACCAACATGTGACCAAGATAATATTTCTCCTTACAACAACACTACATTATCAATGGATAAGGTGAGGAGAATAGAGAAATACTCAGCTAGGGTAGTCTCCTTTGCAGTTGCTACTTGGGTTAACATGCAATGCTTACCCCACTAACAGCTGCTTAAACCTAAACCACATTTCTTTGCATGATTTAGCCAGTGCCAGCTTCAAAATTGAGCCAGTCGTGCCAAAATTTGCTGCAACAATATTATTGTACGCCAATCAGAAGATGTGTCTTCTCATGTCCCCAGAATAAGAAATGTCAAATAGATCTTAACAACATCACCTTTTGAATTTGATGCTCACCAAACATCAAAATTAAACAAAGTTTTACCCAAATAAGACAAGCTTGTTCTGGAAACTTAAGTAAAATATCACTGTACATAAAAGGAGGATCTAAGCTCAGGAATTGAAATGATCTGGCAGTGTTTAGGCAAACAGCACACTGTCACCATTTTGGCCTGAAGATATCAGTGATTATTTGATCAAAACAAAAGGAAAGGAATGTAGCAGCAACCGTTAGTGACGAGGAACATAAATAAAGACAAATAGTCTAAAAAATAGTGATACATTGTAGGTCTGTTTAGAAATGTGATGAGATGTAGTGACTTACTCTTGCACAGTACTACAAAGTTCATGTACTCACCACTCTTACACCACTTAGACCAGTGATTGGGAAACCAAGACACACGACGGCACACACTGATTCCATCAATGCCACCTAACAGTAAAAAAAACAGGGCATAGTTTACAGAAATGCCAAGTTTAACTATGGTACAGTGTACAACTTACAGTTGACCTGCTTGAATTTTGAACCTCTTTGTAATTGCATACCTGACAGGACACTAAAGCACCAACTGACCAACCCAGCAGAATAATGGGACGATTGGGAAAATGACTCCTCAGCTGAAGAATAAAACAAAGTTGAAAACAATTAGGTTGATATGAAACATCAAACACAGATGAGTTCATATGCACTTTCTTTTCTTTCTACATGTACACCACAATGTACATGTGTAGCCCTGATACTATAAGGAGAGTCCAGTGGCCACCACTCCAGGCACACAAGCATTTGTCATGGCTAGGAATATTGCTAGGAATATTGCCTGTAAAAAGATTTCTGAATGTAACCAATTAGTAATACATATTTTTTTTACCTCCAATACTTTGATCCTAACCGCACCAATAATGTGATCCAGACACTGACTGATAGACACTCCACTGCCTCCATTGCTTGTGTGCATAGTGACAGGAACAACCTTGCCAAGGACAGACAGATGGTTGTGCCAGAAGCGAGCACGTTTGGATGACGTCCCAGAACTGATACTTGTTGTAGGACCACTTGGCACGACCAACAGCAAAGGCGTTCCGGGAAGTTTTCGCTTTAAGACAAAAAAGTGACAACTGAAACTGTGATTTAACTTACCCAGCCCTTCCAAAATGTTTGGTTATAAAAGGCAACAAATCATGACTAGATGGTAGAAAGAACCAGCTTCTCTTGCCTGTTAGGTCACCTGATTTTACATTTCAGCATGAAGTGGCAAATAATTAGAACAAGAATTAGCGATAAAAATTTTGAATGAATTTTCAATGAGTCATCGAAATGTCATTCAAATTATCATTGCTCATTTATTTTTGTTCTTACTGTAATTGTTTGTCAAAAGCCTCCATTATTAGAAGTGGAAATACATGTAATCAAGTTAAGACAGCAATATTGTCAGCTATAGGTTCATATTCATTCCATTCCATTTCGAAATGGCTGCATTCCAGTACAAAATATAAGTAGGTTTTCTAAAGGTGCACATCATTCTGTAAAAACAAATACAAGTAACATGGTAACCCTGCACAAAAAGGGTCTGATACAGTCATCACTAAACAGTGAACAATACAAAAAGAAACAGCTATAAAAACAGTAATAAATTAATAAACCATAAAACAGACATTTTATGACCATTTCCAGCACCCTACATTTCTTCCTGAAAAAAATACATGCACAACGTATGTTATGAGAGCTTTTAAAACCTCTGTGGCATGTTAACCTCAGTAGCAGCAATAAAAGGGTGTTAACTCAGGCAGTACCTGTTTATGTTGTGTGACCAGTCCATGGGCCGGGTCCCAAGGTCTTTTGAGAAGTAAGCTAAGGGCTTCTGAGCTCGCTGCCAGTCCACGACGCTGACTAGAAGGCTGTGTAAGCATTCGATCAACAAGAGTTGGAACCTGCAAGAAAAATAATCAAAATTAAGCTGTTTCAACTATGTTATATGTTCAGACTGATGCAACTAATCTCAGCCTAAATTGCTTTCAGCACATGTACTGCAAAAGGGAGCTTTCTTTATCAAGTATTTAAGACTGAATTACTTTCAATCAGTGATATCACAGCTGCCTGATGGATTATCAGCAACATGAAGCAGCTAGGAGTACAGCATTACTACTTCTTTGCACAGTGAAGTGGAAGAAACAGTGCCCTTATGGCTGCCACCTTGAACTCTAGGTTTAGCAGTCAAGCTGATTCCAGCACTAACTGTGTAACTGCTTTGTGTTCTTGGGCAAAACACTATATTTTCAAAGTACCTCTCTCCAACTAGGCTCCAGTTGTTCAAAGGGCAGAAAATGCTATCCACTGGATAACACCTGGGCCCAGGATTGTAAAATAATGGGTACAGTATTAAGTAATACCATGCCAAAATGCTGGGGTTCAACTTGTGATGGAACAAGAATTTCATTCAAAAGGAATAGTTGCTTCACACTTCATTGTCTGGAAACCAGGATAAACTCTGACATTTACGGGCCACTGGGGCACGGCGGAAAAACCGCTGCTCATGCGCAGTAGATTTCGGTTCGTCTTCCCGCCTTTCCATTTTCAAAATGGCGGACGACGAATCAAAAACGAACACGTCATTGTCATGGCTTTTGGCAACATCTTGCTCGTTCAAGGCAGTTACAAACAACTCGGCTACCTTGGGCAATGATCCGTGCTGATGTTTTGACTGTGATCGAGAGGATCGAAACGGTGTTGTCAGTTTTCTCANGAAAGGTGTTTTGCTACAATTCTAGCTGGGTAACCTCTATTCTGCAGGCGTGTTTTAAAATTACTCATGTTTTCCTCAAAAGTAAGTTGAGAGGAATTTGTTCTGAGAAGCCTTAACGCTTCTCCTTTGATAAAGCCTTTCCTGACGCCTGGTGGGTGACACGAATAGAAATTCGTGTATTGAAAGGTCTCTGTAGGTTTGAAATGCGTTCGCACGTCAAGAATAGATTCCTTATTGAATCTGTCACCTTTGTACACTTTCGTATCCAAGAATGTAGTTTCTGTTTCTGAGATTTCAGCCGTGAATTTGATCGTTGGGTGAAAGCTGTTTGCCTTTAGAAGGAAGTCTTCTATTTTGTCCCTACCTGTGTTCTACATAGATATGACATCGATGAATCTTTTCCACAAAATGGGTTTTGCGTTAGTTTGCCTGAATGTTTCTTTTTCTATTTTGGCCATAAATATGCTAGCAAAAGCTACGGCCATTTTCGTTCCCATAGCTGTTCCATGAGTTTGGAGGTAATCTTTTCTACTGAATTGGAACGAGTTTTCTTGTAGAATCAGACTTAGCATTTCTCTTACAAATTCTTCGTATGCCTCGCATACAGTGGTAATACCCTCCTGGGCTCTACGGAAAAACCGCCGCTCATGCGCAGTAGATTCGGTTCGTCTTCCCGCCTTTCCATTTTCAAAATGGCGGAAGACGAATCAAAAACGAACACGTCATTGTCATGGCTTTTGGCAACATCTTGCTCGCTCAAGGCAGTTGCAAACAACTTGGCTACTTTGGGCAATGATCCGTGCTGATGTTTTGACTGTGATCGAGAGGATCGAAACGGTGTTGTCAGTTTTCTCAGGCGATAAAGACAGCTCTTCCGAAAGGAAACTTTCAGCTTTTCCAAATTCACCCGAGGTACCGTGTTTCCTTTTCTTAAGGTCGCGTCAAGTTCTTTAAGGTTTTGAACCGCAATATCTTGTAGCTTGTTTAATTTTACGGAACATATAAAATTACTTTTTTTTCGTGCTGATGAAAATTTTTAAATGCTATTTGTTCATGGACTTTTGTATCGTTGCCTGAAG